TTCCACTGACTAGGCGCTTGTTTTAAACCGTAAAGTGCTTTCTTTAACTGGCATACCTTCCCCTTGTTGCATTCTTTAATGAAACCCTCAGGTTGTTCCATATATATGTCTTCATTTAGATCACCGTTGAGAAAAGCAGTTTCAACATCCGTTTGATCCATTATTATATTCCATTGTGTTTCGAAAGCAAGTAGTAATCTAACCGTTGAAAGGCGTGAAACGGGTGCGAATGTTTCGTCATAATCTACGCCGTAAGTTTATATAAAACCTTTGGCTACTAATCGTGCCTTATAACGTATGTTTTCTCCGTTTTCATTTTTCTTTATCTTGAATACCCATTTACAACGGACTATTTTTCTATTTTTAGGTCTATCCACAAGACCCAAGTTTTGTTAGTTACAAGTGAGTCATATTCACTTTGAAGAGCCTCTTGCCATTTATTTTTATCATCAGAACGAATGGCTTCCTTAAAGGTGGAAGGGATATCATCTTCTTCAGCTTTGTAGAGAACTATATCTTCTGACCACTTTTTCGGGATTCTGTTTCTCAATGGATATCTCCTAACAGGTTGAGAAACTTGATTGTTTGTATTATCCGAAATTTCAGTAACACTGTCATAAAATTCTTCTTCAGTGTCGTCAATTCTAGTTGTTAAAGTGTGTGTGTGTTAAAGGTTCAGTCTCGTTATTGTTGACTTCTCCTTCAGTTAGTATATTTTCAGAATTTTCTGTAACTATAAAAGGTTCAGTCATGATGTTGTTGACTCCTCCTTCAGTTGGTATATTTTCAGAATTTTCTGTAACTATAATAGGGACGGATTCTGATATTTGAGTTCCAACTTTATCAACCATATTATTTTGATCACTTGACTGCGATTTGAATAAAAAATCATTTTCAAATATTTAACATCTCTTGTCTTAATAAGAATTTTTGGATGTTCAGAATCAACTACTCTGTATCCCTTAGTTTCGGTGCAATAACCTATAAATATGCATAATTTGGCCTTAGCATCAAATTTCTTTCGAAGAATTTTAGGTATGTGCGCATATACTCTGCATCCAAAATTACGAAGATGTGATGATGTCCAGATTTTTTCAGGGGTTTTCCCCCTAATAGTCTTAGTCGGTGAGCGGATTTTTCAAGTAAGTCGCTGTATTGATTGCTTCTCTGATAACTCTGATAACTTTGAGGTAGAGCATATTCTGAGAGCATAGATCTAGCTTTCTCTACTACGGTTCTGTTGACTCTTTCAGCCAGGCCGTTTTGCTCTGGATTGTGAGGCACAGTCGTTTGGTGAACTATACCGGACTGTTTCAAAATTTCTTTCATTTCCGAATTCAAATATTCACCACCGTTGTCAGAACGTAGAATTTTAATCTTTCTGTCAGTTTGGTTCTAGACTAAGTTTAATTAGGTAGGTAAATGTTTTTCTAGAAAAATCGTCAATGAAAGTCACGAAATATGAAGCACCTCCCAAAGATTAGGTACTCATAAATCCGCAAACGTCACTGTGAATAATTTCCAGCGAATTTCTAGATTTTGAATCTGATGTTTTGAAAGGTTGCTTTGACAATTTACCTTCCACGCAAGCAATGCAATTATCTTTAATAGATCCAGCAGGCTTTGGATACCTGACACCAAGAGCTCAGTTTTTTCTAAGCAATTACATTGATCTGAAGTTCAGATGACCAAGGCGTTTGTGACATAATTCAGCAGAATTTTCTTTGACTTCTGTTAAACTCGCGTGAGCAGTAGGTAAATCAAGTTTGTACATACCATTGACATTTGAGGCTGTGCATAAAACTTTTCCGAATACCTTACACGTTTCTCCATCAATAATTTTGCCTCCAGATTTCGAAAAAAGTACGACATTTCCTTTCTTTACCAATGAGTTCACTGAAAGCAGGTTCATTGAGAGGTTCGGAACATGCAAAACATCGGTAATATTGGAAGTGTTTAGTTTTACAGTACCAATGGCATCTGAAAGAATTATTTGATCATTAGCTATTCTAATACTTTTCTTGACAGGTTTAGTATCATGTAGCCAATCACGTCTATTAGTCATATGACTTGTAGCCCCAGAATCTATAAACCAGTCATCACTCTTTACAAGAAGCGACTTATCAAAAATTGGTTTACAATAGTTTCACTAACCTCCAAATTATCAAAATTAGAATTACTCACGGACTGATCATCAACCACATGTGTTACCTCGCAAATTTCGGCCTTTTCGTCTTTGGATTTAACTTTAAGAATTCTACAATTTGCTTTTATATGTCCTGGTTTGCGGCAGTAATTACAAAATATGTTCTTAGTGTCTCCATTAAATTTGTTGTAAGACAACACTAAAGCACTATCTTCAGGTGGCTAGATCTCGGCTGTCTTCTTTCATAAGTGCAGCAATGACATTGTCTGATGTTAGTTCAGTGCCAATCAAATGCAGATTTAGATCCCATTATTTTAGAGAAGACTGTTTCGTGACAGCACAAGCCAATTTTAGATCGGGCTCTGTCATCGGATCGTTGCATTTCTGGTGAGCTATTGTCTAAAGGTGGATGCTTCACGCAATCCCATAGTCCACAATCAATCAGCATCATCTCCATTGAGAATGCCCATGTTGCATAGTTTGAACGCCCTTCTAATTTCTTTAAAGATGTAGTACTTACTGTATGTGCAGTTCAAACATAGGATACTACACTACTATTACTTGCATTTGTATGAGAGAAAGGTTTTGTACAAGAATCTCCTTCCATTTTTTTTATGTTCGAATTGCAAAAATTTAGAGTTTCAGTGCTCTGGGCCCATAACATAAAGGAACTTATTGCCTTTAAATAGGTATTCTCTGAACTCCAAATAAAATAATAATGTGTAAGATAAATAGACTTATGTATTTTCTTGATAAATATTTAAACAGAAGTAACTGACAATGACAAAGAATATAAAGAGAAAAACAAAGTGGCCTATCAAAAGATATATGAAAGAAGGTTGATGTGTAAACTAAATAGTTCCAACAGATTACGCTGATGTTTGTTATACAGATCTGTCTAAGAACTTCTCACTAAATTAGAGTGTCTGCAGAATGCCTGCATCAGATTTATTTTTAACCTTCGAAAATTCGACCACGTGTCTCAATTCCGCTCCAAACTCAACTGGCTCCCTATTCGTCGGCGCAGGAACTTGCACACTAATGGTTCTTTATTCTATACTTTTTTTTTCTTTTTCTATATTCGATATTCACATTATTATCAGCTCGGTAATCATGTAATCTGTAATGGAACTCTTTTGGGGAGACACTAGAGATGAGACGTACTAGGTTAAAGGCGTACTAAGTCTTGCAAGTACGAGTACGCTGAAATACTTATTCCGTAAACCTATTCCACGAGTATTTAGAAGTATGCGTTTTTAAGACTATTGACACAAATTTTGTCCCAAGACATTGCGACTGCGTGATGTATGATCCGAAGTCATTGTAGATTGGGAATTGCACATGAATGAATACTTTGACGGGAAAAAAATAAACCTGACGATTGCACAAGCCAAAAAATTATTAGCACTAAAAATTGAAATGTGACACTTTGTGGAATTTGAAAACACATTAATTGGCTCGCTACAATAATTATCCATTGGTTGTTATTATTTGTATCAAGCTTAGTTAACAAAAAACAAAGTAGAGAATTTTATTAAAATTATCAAAGTAAAAAATAAAAACAAAAACATCTAAAGCAGTTAAAGTGGAAAGACACATTTCTAAAATGTTAACATACAATTTATTTTCATTCGTTTTTAAAAAATGGTGTTATAATGAGTTTTGCTTGTTGATATAAGTTAATTTCATTTAGATATAAAACGTTTTTTTTACTACAAGTTATTAAATATTAGTACTGTTGTAGTTATGGACTGACCCAAACAGAATTCATGCTCAAAATAAATAAAATATATGATAAATAAATAGATATATTGCATAATGATATATAATAAATATAAGATAATTAGTACATTGTATAATTAAATAAATTGGTTCCAATTTGAGATGGTGCTACTCCAGTATGAATCGCGGTATGATCTCATTTCTATACGATTTATATAAATTTTTGTGATTCATAATTACTGTGTAAACAAAAAGCAATTTTATCACATAACGTTAAGATTGACCCTAGGAATAGGAATTTATTCACTCACACTAAGATCGAACGCGTCCGCGCTTCGCGTCTCGGAGAGCAGAGTTTGTAATTACTGTGTAAACAAAAAGCAATTTTATCACATAACGTTAAGGTTGATCCTAGGAATAGCAATTAATTAACTCACACTAAGATCGAACGCGTCCGCGTCTTCGCGTATCGGAGAGCCGAGTTTGTAATTTCTGTGTAAACAAAAAGCAATTTTATCACATAACGTTAAGGTTGATCCTAGGAATAGGAATTCATTCACTCACACTAAGATCGAACGCGTCCGCGTCTTCGCGTATCGGAGAGCCGAGTTTGTAATTACTGTGTAAACAAAAAGCAATTTTATCACATAACGTTAAGGTTGATCCTAGGAATAGGAATTCATTCACTCACACTAAGATCGAACGCGTCCGCGTCTTCGCGTCTCGGAGAGTCCGAGTTTGTATGAGTACAAGACTTCTAAATACTCGAAACGTGTTGGACGTCTTGAGTCTGCGTCCGCGTCTTCGCGTCTCGGGATTTGTGTGAGTAAATACTTCTAAATACTCGATACGCGTTGATTGCTTATTCGATACTTAGTATTTAGACGTCCAAGCAAAAACTTATTCCAAAGACTTATTCCAGTAAATACGTCTCACTCCTAGGAGACACTATTTTCAGTCCGATGACATGTGTCAAAAGGGACCTCTTGGCTTATTTATCACGAAAAAAGTTCGTATTTATCACTATTAATTAACTAAATTATTGTCACTACATATTTAATTAATACAATAGTATTAATGTGACTAGACTATTAAATCATTTACTTTTATCTAGTAGAAAAAGTTACTAAAAATGTCTTCTACATATAGACTTATGTGGAACAGATTAGGTTGTATTAAAAATAGTCTTAAATTACTTACAGTGCCCAGTTTGAGACATATACCTATGCGAAATAAAACAGTAGTTTCTTGTACAGTGGGATTCTCCTTATTCACTTGGTTAGGATTTGAAAATAAACTTTCTGCAGAAGATGAAATTGTAGAGACCATTAAACACTGTGTGCTTTTCATTCAAAGATCCGAATACGAGAAAGCTGAACAACTATTACATGTAGCTTTAAGGCAAGCACAACAAATACAGCATCAAAATGGAATTACTTATATTTATGATGTGATGGCAAACTTAGCGTTAGAAAGAGAACAGTTGGATAAATCAAAACAATTGTTTGTTACAGTGGCACAAAGAATTATGGCAGATGGAGCCACAGAAAACGACCCACGAGTTGTTCATATAAGCACTAAACTTGCTAGAATAAGCCATCTAAAAAAAGAATACAATACAGCTCAAGTTGGTTATGATTGGTGTTTAGGCAAGTTAAAAAGAATGGTTGAAAGTAGTGAAGATGATTTCACTACAAAGAAACTTCTTGCTATGACTGAAGATTGGTATGGCAGGCTGTTTCTAGAATGCAATCAAAATGAACAAGGACTTTTGTTAATGCAGAGTGCCTTAGACTTGATGAGACAAATACCTGATATTGAAAAAGAACATATTATTATACAACTTAATGATATTGGAACAGTCTGTGATAAACTCGGAAGAGCTGATGAGAGTATAAGCTATTTCAAAGAAGCTATAGATTTAGGCAAAGGTCTGAATATGGATGAATTGGGTGCCATATATGTTAATCTTGGTAGAGCATACCTAAAAAAAAATATGATAGAAGATGCCAGAAAAGTATGTGGTCATGGATGGAAGATTGGAGCAATGTCTAAAAATGATAATATTAAACATGAAGCAGAATTGTGTATTAAAGAAATAAAAAATCATAGTTAATTTTACACATATTTATTTTACAGAAAAAGAGTTATAATATCTTAAAAATAGAAATGTTTTTAATCTCAAAATATACACCTGTAAAATATTTGCTTACTAAATATTAGGAAAATTAAAATTGTCTTGAAATGCATTAAACATGTATCTGAAATTACCAAATTACTATGAAGATATCTTAATATTATATGTCACATATTATCTATGTTATTGAGCACTATCTTTTGTGACACTAAAAGGTTCTGAAACCACTTCTGTGCGAGTTTCAGTGATCACAACATCCTTGACAGGGCGATCATTTGATCCAGTTACAGTCTTTTCAATTTTACGCACCACATCCTGTAAATAAATTTTTAATATGACAATCAGTTTTGTTACAATAACACAAAATAATTATATTTATAATAACTTTGTTTACATACCATTCCTTCTAAAACTTTTCCAAAGACAACATGTCTACCATCAAGCCAAGGTGTCTTGGTTGTAGTTATGAAGAATTGAGAACCATTGGTATCTTTTCCAGCATTAGCCATAGATAACCAACCAGCTCCATAATGACGGAGTTTGAAGTTTTCATCTTCAAAGCGTTCTCCATAAATACTGCGACCTAGAAATAAAAACACCTCGAATGTATGTTATAGATGCTCTATAATCTTATCTAGATTTATTATAAATTTCAACTTTTAACCTTTCTAGATAAAGTTATCACATAACAACATATTTGTTACTAGTTAAATAAAACTCAACAATATAATATATTTAAGTTACACATATACTGCCTGTCTTTGGCCTTTGCCAAAGAGCAATCATTGTGTGATCAAATATTTTAATGTAATATAGTAGAAGCCTCTTACTTCCTTAATATACTGCGAATAAAGGATGGCATAAAAAAGAAATTCTATTTAGTCAGTCAGTCAGATAATATAAAGATATTAGATACTTTTTTAACTATAATGTAACAAGAAATAGTTTAGATAACAGGCATTTAATTGAGAAGTAGGGTCTTCGCTACATGACAGTTTTGTATCCTGTAATCCACTTTGTCCCCAGCACCCTGAGATGGGATTCAAACTCATGACCTTTTCTAAGCATTTTTCATTAACAATATTTTTCAGTATAGCATTGTGAATGCAAAATTGATCAAATATAATAAACAAAAATTAGTCATCATCCCCATTGGGGTATGATTATTAAGGAACTACCAATTAATATCATTCTTTATAGTCAGGTATAAATAAAAAAAAATGTTATAAGTTAAAATCTAAAAATAAACTAAATTTTCAAAATTTGTCCACGAAAATGCCACTGAAGTAAAATGATGTCATGGCTCTCAGAAACTAATATTGTTTTATGTATGCATAAAGTGGAATTTTTTAAGTTATAATATGAGTAAGAAGAGTGCGCTGTTTGCAGTCACATGATAAAATAGCATTAAAATATTTTTATCATAATTTAAGTAATATTACGAGTATAATAAGCATAAAAGTGTGAATACTACTATTTTTTGTAAGTAGAAAAGATGGTCTGAATAAGGGTTTATTTTTTATATAAAATACGTCTGAAATTGACCATACATATAACAAACCATATATTTACCTCCAGTGCCATCGCCTTTAGTGAAATCACCTCCTTGAATCATGAAGTTATCAATAACTCTATGGAATTTGCTGCCTTTATATCCTTCACCTTTAGGCTTCTGGGCTAACTGGTAGAAGTTATCTGCTGTTTTTGGTACTGTGTTCCCAAACAGTCCAATGGTAACTGTACCGATTGGATCATCTCCAATTGAAATATCAAAATGCACCTGAAAAATGTAACTGTTTATAGATTTGAATCCAAAACTTAACTAACAATACATTATCAAGAAAGGTTGAAGGTGTTCAAATCATTTGTATTACTTAGGTTTTAAATTGGAATACAATGAAAATAATACATTGGTCAATTTACAATGAAAAATGACCGTTCGCAATTTAGAACTAGTGTCGATCTATGATACACGTAAGCTTGAGAAAAGGACGATCCTACATTCAATGTGGCGAATAAATAAACCTAACAAAAAGTTGTAGCGTCATTTTATAGGTCACCGACCGCATCATTTGCGGCCAATGACATTTTAAATTATTGTTTAGGGCGATGTTCATGAACTTCATAAAAGAAGTATAAATTTTAACACAATTATTTTTAAAATCTGGCCATAAATTCAATACATTTAACTTTCATAGAACTTACCTTATGAGTTACTTTTGGGCCTTTAGGAGCCTCATCCGAACGGGCACTAGACATTAATAGAAAGAGCCCGAAGGCAAGTGCCAAGGATCCCATAATTACAAGTATAACCTTTCTTCTAAAAATTTTTAAAATTGTACGCTATTATTCATAAGGAAAATGCCCTGCTTATATTTATAAGGTATTTACAGCTACAGAGCAAGCACTACTACACTCTGAGGACAAGTGAAGATCCACTGAACCACACTGAGCTCTCCAACAACAAATTGAATGAATCAAATCAAAGTAAACCACGTCAGAAATATCTTCGCTTGATGACAATACAATACAGTTAGGGTTGCCAACAGTACTCTAAAATTAAAATTCTCAGGCAAGGTTATTTCAAATTACCACTTTTTAGACAAATTTCATTCTGAGGTCATGCAAATATTTGCAAAGTAAAAATCGTTTTATGAAAATTAAACATTATGATCGATAGCAGTAGTCGACTCGATGGAAAAAATCGCAAAGATGATTCTAAATAGGTTTTTAGGATCGATCTTACGACCAATATATTATTAACTGTGGCGCTAAGGTAATGGTAATATACCATCCATCAGAAAGACCTGTTCTTATGGATGATATGTTACCATTCCGAAAAAGTAATTCGTACTGGTCCTGCGTGGTGAGCCTACATTTCGCAATTAGCCCATGTGTAAGTCCTAATGCGATTGGTGGTGATATAGCATAGTTATTCGTAATGGATGATCCAATTGATCCAGCAATCCGTATTGAGTACGCGTGTTGGACCCAATGCGGGTTTTTAGGGTGCTAAAGGCAATTACAGGTTTTTGTGATGAATGCATAAAAAAGGCCCCTACAAATCCGCGGACTTGCCTCAGGGCTGTAGCTAGAGTCGAATTTTAGGCAGGGCAGCATTGGTTATAGGTAGGGCGGAAGTAAAAAAAATATCATAATTGATCTGCTGCGAAGCACGGGTTACTAAATCAATCACCATGTATATAACTGACCACTAGGTCAAATTTCTGTGACAGAACAAGAGCCTGAATCTAAGAACTATTAGATCCTCAATGATGAAGGGCAAGTGAACAAGATGTAGAGATCCACGTCTTTAATATTATCTTATAATCCACGTAGTAAACTAATGGATGGGGTGATATGAGTAAATTGACATAACTTAAATACCATTTAGATCATATTGTTTCTGCAAACTTATTATCATAGTTAAAATAATAAAAAAGTAATAATAATAATAATCACATTTAAAACAACTGAATTCTATGATTTGCCATGTTATTAAAAATGTGAAAAACTTCGTTCAGATCACCTGATTTTGTTCTTTTTTTTTCCAAGGGTCAGAAATACCATATCAGCCATTCACTCATGACCCATTGACATTCTTTGTGGTCTTTTGATTGCAGTTAAAGTTGAAAATGTAGAATCTCTAGTTTATGACAATGCCCCCCCCTAGCTACGGCCGTGACTTGCCTGCGTGATGGACCCAACACGGATTGGTAGGATGCTGAGTATCCAACTACAGGCCTTTCTTATGCATGGCATGATACCAATCCAAACAGTAATACGTACAGGGCCCGCGTATTGGACCCAATACGGATTTTTGGTCTGCTAAGAGTATTTTACCTATAGGTCTTTCTGATGAATTTGATGGTACCAATCCAAACAGCAATTCGTGTGGGCCTACGTGTAGGTTCCCGATGGTAATGATAAAACACATTTGATTTTGTAAACCTAAAAGCATTAATAATAGTCTAAAATTAACTGCCCAACTAGCAAAAATATGTCGTATAGTAGTCGCAGCAACGAAAATTATTCAGCATTTTGGCTCCTAATAGAAGTCGTATAAACGTAATGAAAGCGTTTATACAACGCGATTTGGGCCCATTTTATTCAGTAATTCAGTCACATAGACATCGTATAAAGGTAACTTATTCAGGTAAATCGTCACGTAATTATCGCCGGAGTGACTGTTACAAGCTTATGTTGCGCTATAACTGTAACTTATGTGACTTTTATATGACATGTTTGTCTTATTGAAGCGACCTGGGATACAAAACAGCTGAAAACATTTATAGTAAATAAAATAAGCAAGTGCTTCGACGTGTTGTGTTTTAAAAATTATAATTCATCGGTAAGTACAATTTATGAGGTTCGTAAACTCACGCATAGGGTTGTAAAGTATTGCGAAGGTAAGTTTTCTGAGGAAATATACTAGGTTATATCATAAATATTTAACGCCCCCCTTTAATTCTTAGTAATACGAATATAATAACAAATATTTTTATATCAATATTATTTTTGTACACCATTTTTACTGCTGACAGGCGGTATAATAGCTTCTTATACAGCAAATTAGCAGTATGAGCGCCATGATACCACTCTGATTATAGTTTAGGGTTCCTTAGAACTTCCTAAAAAGTTTTCTAAAAAAGACTTTTTGTTTGTTTATTTATTTAATTAACTATTTATTGTACACAACAAAACTAGAACAAATTACACAACAGGAACTGCTTTATTACTGAAAAGAAATTAATATCTTTCATACGCCCATTCTGCAATATTATTACGCAACTCACAGTCTTTGTCAATGGAGTGGTCTTTGTCAAAGTTTTCTGAAGCACTACTGTCGTCTGAATCTATTTCGTGTACGGAAACACTATTTTCTAAATCTCTCAATTCATTTTCCAAACACGGATTTTCAAATTCCAAATCATGATTTTTCTCTGAGGTAATTATTTCACCTGCGGAACCACTTACTCAAATATTATTTCCCACTTCACTGCATAAACAAGAGGTTTCTTGCTCAATAATAATATTTGATTTACCCATTAACGATTGATACTTTATTTTCACTTTCCTCTTGTATCCACCTCTTTTTTTTCAAGTTTTTCCATTTATTCCAGTCCATTTTCGATAACTGTAAACTACTCACAGCATTTTACACAAAACAATCTGATCGGTGTAATGGATACAATTATACGAGGGCGGGGGATATGTCAGGTTGTGTTTGTATTCAGTATAAGTACCAAACTAACATATCACCTATTTTACCATTCTGTCCCGTCTGGTAATCTGGCAAATGGTCTGGGGGGAGAGTGCAGGTCATGTTGATCCCCTAGGCAAGTCTGATTGTCTCCTTCACGCGGTGGCCGCCTGTTATTGGTCTGATTCCCTAAGAAACAGATATAACTAAAACAATCAGGCGCACCCCTATCCACATCCTCACTAATCATATCCTATCCTCATCCTTACTTCCCACCACAATCCCTAAAGTTGTCGCACCCCAATTAGGCAGCTTTCTAGTCCACTTGGTTCAGGGAGGCGGCCAAGTGGTTTGTGAGCCTCTCCTGCGCTATGACCTGCGCAGCAGAGCCGTACGCGGGGATGAAGGGATCCTGGTGTTTGAGCGGAAAGGGTAGCTGCGGCACCCCGGATGCAACACAGCACTTTGGCCCGGATTTCCAGCTAGACGGCAACCACGTGGTCCAGCCAGCTACGTGGTAACGGTCTTGGCGTCTACCGTCTATGGGTCGCCGGCGAGGAACGTGGGGGTCACTTAACATCACAGTGATGGACTCCGGCCATGCTGAAGGAGCAAGGTTGTTGGGAACCAATGATAGTTGGGATCGACTATCATCCCTTCAACTGCAGCCCCTGATGTCGCGCAAGGAGGAAAACCCTGCGTTCCTATATCCTCGTCACAATCCTGATGACCGATTATTGATATCGGCATCCCAATTGTGGCTCCGTGGCGGGTGGGACTGACGAGGATGAAGTAACAAGATTATGTGGACATGGAAACTCATAGATCCCATAAGAAAGACCTGGTGAAGGGTAAAACCGGCGACAGGCAAACTGACAATAAAGACAAACCAACGACAACATGTACATCGAGAGACCTGGTGAAGGGGAAACCTGGTGTCAGGCCGATGCACAAAGACCATGACAGAGACAATGACAGACCAACTTCATCCCGTGTCTTGACAGACCTGGTGAAGGAGCAATCCGGCGACAGGCAACAAGCGCGAGATGATGACCTTGATTCCTGGCAGCAAGTCACCCACCGACGTAGAAATCGGCAGGGTGGAGATAGGAATCAAGACCAAACCACTGACACGACAGGACGCAGAAGGACCAAACTGGGACAAAGAGCTAGGAAGGCCCGTAACAGACAAAGAGCTGAGGAAGCCAGTAAGACGACTGTTACGGGTCAAGAGGCTAACACCCGGGACAGACAGACTTCTGAGGGGACAATACTACCGGCTTCAAAGAGGCCCAGACTGGACGACACGGTCTCTCCAAGGGGTGACCATAAGAAACCTAAATCGGGGGAACCGCGTCGAACACCGGCAAAAATATCATTCGCCGATGCGGCCACAGCTGACCTACTGGTGGTAATCACCAGCCAAAAAACAGGACACCTGACAATAGCCCAGGCAACACAAGTGCTAGCAGCCCTGGAGGAAGCCGTCATAATGGAGACGCTAGAGGCGGGGCCATCGACTGATGAGGGACCGAACCTGAAAGGGAAACCGACAATCGGGGACGGGGTGCTCAGTCTTTGGTGTGAGACACCCAAAACTCTTCAGTGGGTAAAAAAGACTGTGGCAGCCATGAAAATCCCGGGGCTGGATGACCTGACAGTGCAAAGGCAAATAGACAGACCAAAGAGGGTGGTATGTGGACTACTTGTGCCTGGCACAAGGGCTCCACATATGACAGCTAAACTATTGAGGCATCAAAATAAGTTTGCTGACGTGGATAGATGGATCCTGCATAAGGCCATCGCTGGAGAGGACAACACCTTCCTCATTTTCAGCACCACTAGAGACGTGGCAGAAAAAATTCTGGCAAGAGGGAGGCGACTTTGCTACCTGATGGGCTCGGTTTACGTCCGATTCCGGCATCAGGATGGCAAGTATCTGGACAGCCTGCCACCTCTGGAGGACCAAACCTCAGCCCCGACACCCAGTACAGAACCGGACCATCAACGGCAGCTACACAAGAGGCCATGGACATTCAAAAACCGGAGACCTCGACTTCTGCGAAAGGGAGTCGAAACGAAAAGGACGTGATTGACGAATGGGCGGACAGACTCGGTGGTATCGACATCAGCCAGGAGGTGGATGTCGACGTTTTGCTTGCGTCTGATGGCGCTACCACCGACTAATACAACATTTTTGCAGACAAACCT